TTTGTTTTGCCTGCATATGCAGGTAGTCAGTCATTGCCAGCTCATAGTTTTCCTTTCATATTCATATTAATTAAAGTTGCAATATACTTAGAATCATTTGTGCGGCTAATCGTATTTATAATACTAATGATACAATTGTAGCAAATTAGAAAAAAATGAGGAAAATGCATTATATTTTTTCTCTGATATTCTTTTTAAAGCTGTTTTTACCCTAATTTTTAAGTAACTGTCCCATAAATTTACAGTTTTATACCAAAACAAAATACATCTCTTGAGTCACTGAGTATTATTGAAGTTTTTAAAAACTGACTTATATACGTTGAATTACTACCATTGGGACATTCAGTGAGCACCTGATTTTTAAAGTTTGGACACTGGTATTCTTAGTATTTGTTTAATGTAAAAATGAAAGAATTATATATTATAGGGATTTCCAGTATCCTGCTTTCTTTACACACAGTACATGGTACATGATTAAAGGAGCCTGCACATCCCCTCCAAAAATGCAAATTAATGGTCCTCCCAAATCCTGTCCTTCCATAGAAACTAACCATAGTTTTTACATCTTAAAGCTGCTTAGATTATCTATCACTTCTTTAAATTGCGGTAGTTTCTCTTATTTACAGTGGGTGTATTTGAAGCCACAGTGGATGCCTGAAACCATGGCTAGTACTGAACCTTATATATCCTAGGTTTATTGCTATACATGCATACCTATGATAAAGCTTAGTTGATAAATTAGGCACAGTGCGAGATTAGCAATAGGAATAATAAAATAGAACTAATATAACAAACTACTGTAATGAAAGGTATATGAATAGGGTCTCTCCCTGTCTCTCTCAAAATACCTTATTGTATGTACTGTACTCACCCTTTTACTAATGATGACATAGTGTGATAAGATGCCTATGTGATGAGAGGACGTGACGTGAATGACAGTAACATTGTGACAAAGCATAAGGCTGCCGTTGATCTTTTGATGTTACAGAAGGATGATCATAAGCTTCCAGACCATGATTACTGTGGGTAATTGAAACTGTGTAAAGTAAAACTATGGATAAGGGGGTATTATCATATAACACAACTCATGCCTGAACTGAATCAACAGTCTCCACGTACAGTAAATTCATGACTCATGGTTCTTTTACATTTTTATTCCAAAAATTAATCATTGGTATAACATTTTCGTGATTGGAAGCTTTTTTTCACACGCACAAAAATACTTTAGAAAGCCAAAGTTTTGAATTTCAGTGCATCAAGCCAGATGTATCAGCCATTTCCATATGGTAATACTTGAATTAAAGCTAAGTAGCCTTAATTAGACTAATAGATTGCCTTCATAAAAAGCTTATATGGAAGTGCAACCACTGAATTTCTTATTTTTTCCCTCTGGAATTTTACATCTAACTTACACATTAAAGAACTTTGTATCTGGCTAACTTAAGTAAACGAATTTCGTATCCATTTAATTGTATCACAATATGAAATTTTCTATTAATACATGATTAATACATGATTTTAAAAATGTGTTTAAACTCATATTTCATACAAAAACCACTAATTAGGACTATTTGGTATAGAAATTATTTCAACAGTTAAAAGATTGATTGATATTCTAAAATTTAAAATCTATAAGCCACTGTTGCTTTATTTCTGGATTAACTTTGTGTTACTTTTAGAAAGCTACATCTCATGGTACTATCATCTCTTCTGAATGTCAAGAATGTGCATTTTGATGCCTTTATGGTTTTTGTGATGTGTCATGCAGACTCTTGTAAATGTTTGAATATTGTAACATTAGTTCTGAAGTATGGCTACACATTACAGTCCCACTCAGAAAGTTTAAAACACATTGGTTAGATGCCAAACCCCAGAGATTTTGATTCGATTAGCCTGAAGTGACATTTTTTAAAAGCTTTCCAGGTTATTCCAAAATGAAGCTACCTCTGAGAATCAGTGAATGGGAGGATTTGGGAAATAATGAAAATGTTTTGTTCATAATACCCTTGAACAGATTTCCAAGATAGAAGATGATATGAATTGACTATATTTAGCTGTCTCCATGAATGGTGTTTATTAAGCCAGGACTGAGCCAGCTAATGTTTTGAATGTTTTGAAGTCCCTCCTAGTTCTCTGATTCTAACATTTTATAGTGTTCTTTCCACGTTAATGGTTATTTCACAATTTTTTTCTTCATAGAGCACATAGTGACTCATCAGATTTTTAAACACCCTTGTGCATAATATAATAGAAGCAAGCTATGGAGAGGTACATCCACCATTCTTTAAAAAAATTCATTATCTGTAACAACAAAATATGATCCAAGAAATCACAACAGAACTCTGTAAGAAGTAAAATGACATCAATAACATTAATATAATCAAATTGAGTACATTTATACTAATGGGAAAAATAAAAGAATGATCAAAATTGAGACAAATTAATCAGTGATGGCTTCTTGGAAGCACTGATTTATGCCAGATTCAGAAGGAAATGATGAAATCCAAGTCAACAAAGGGGCTCTATGTAAAATGCTGCAGTGAACAAAACATGAATAAACTATGGTCCTCACTCTCCCGGCATGGACCATCAAATTCAGAAGTAGTCCCATCTAACCGTATTATAAAGGAAGCGTGTGCTATGAGAACACAGAGGAAGGATGGATTTATTCCATATTAAAGGACTAGACATTACTTCACGGGCAAAATTGGAACTAAGCCTTGAAGAGGCAGAAGAAAAAGTGGTTGGGAGGATGGATAGATACCTTCCAACAGAATTACTGACTTAGGTAACAAGATGGTATCACATTTTCTGGAATGTACAGGGAAAAAAAGTACACAAGATGAATGCAAGAAGGCATTTCACAGACGTGAGAATGTACGACTATGTTTGGAGACATACTAGCCCACTATACCGGGCTAGAAAGAATCAAGTAAGAAGAAAAGAGATTTACCAAATATGTAGGTAAGGGAGGGCTCTGAAAGGTTGTTTAAAGAATTTGACATCCACACATCTCAAATAGCAACTTTTCCAAAGGAGTCCAGTTCTAAGTGAAATCACGTCAGGCCTGTTAATATCTGGCCTCAACTAGTTATTTGGTTGTGTGAAGAAACCTCCAGTCTGAAGTGGGGTTAGACTGGGTATCAGATGATCATTATAAGATAGGAAGTCACTCACAATTGTCAGGACTATATTTCAAGGAATGAGTGTGCCCCAAATCCTTCCATTCTGGGACTGGGGGGGGCTGTCATTCAATACTTTTTTCAGCTCTTTTCATGGAGAAGCAATCGTCTTCCTCATTCTGAATTTATATACATAGGTCCTTTGTCAGTGTACTACTCAATGTAATAGTTGGGTCAAATGTTTCACTGAAGCATGTATTTTACTTAATTACTACATTTAAAAAAAATTCAAGTTCTTCATCCGTTATCCTGATTGCCTAAAAATACTCTGGAGAGAGAGAGAGAGAGAGAGAGAGAGAGAGAGAGAGAGAGAAAATCACCGTATAAAAAATAATTAGCACGTCCTCTCCTTTTTATAACTTTATAATTGAAATCTCATTAAGAGCTTTCTAGGTCTCTTTTTCCCTTAGTGACCAGGTGTCCCTAATTTGTTTTTATCCACTGTGCCTAATTCCAGGCAAAGACTAGAAAAAAGTCTAATACCTGTTGGAGAATAGCGCTAGCAAGGTTAAATAAGTGGGGTGGCCTTTTCAGGTTGCCTTCAACCTCCCAAGGAACCAAAGCAAACCGAACCAACACAGAAAGCTTCAACGTTTCCTTCTCTTGGAGTCCTGCCTTTTCCCCAGTCCCAGCTGAAGATTCCAAGGGAAACCAGAGCACTATTTTGTTTCTCCCTCGTATTGCAGATAGGGGGAGGAGGTGGCTATTAGCGAGAAGCTCTTCCTCTCCCGGTTCCCCGTCTCCGCCTGCGGCCCCGCTCCCTCGCGGGCGCGCTCCTTCTCCTAGGTGATCCATTTCTAAGCAACGTGGGGCTAGTGCTGAAGCTGCCAGGCTCGCTCCGCGCCCGCTTCCTGCATCCCGCCGGGCGATCGGCTCCGCAAGCCTCCCGCGGCCCGCGGCCCGCAGCCTCTCCCTCCTCCGCCGCCCGGCCCGGCTGCGCGCGCCCGGCGCAACTCCCCCGCCGCCGCGCCCCAGCGAACCGGCTCCCCGGGCCCGCCTCGCCGAGCTCCGCTCCCCGCCTCGCGCAGAAAAGGCATTTTCTCTGCATTACTGTCTGCATTACCTTGAAGTTCACTTTTACTACCCCTCTGGGAGAGGGCTTTTCTCCCTTCCCTGTTGGAATCCGGCTGCTCCGCCTGGAATCTCCTAATCTTTCCTTTCCACTTAGATTTTATTTTGGCAGCGAGGACGAGTGATTCTCTGCGGGCCGTTGGGGCGGGGGCTGGGGGCGCTTTTTTTTTTTTTTTTTTGGCTGGGGGAGGAGGAGGGGAACATCCGGCGTGGTGGTGGTGGTGGTGGTGGTGGCGGCGGCGGGGGGGGCGGGGGTCTGTTGGAAGTTGCGGCGGAGCTGGGACTGGAGACCCGCGGCCCCGGCGCAGCGATGGGGATGGTCTGAGCTCCAGCCTCTGCCCCTGCCCGAGAGCAGCCGAGGCTGGTTACATTTTTTTTTTTTTTTTAAAAGCCAAACTGCAAACAACTCTGGCGATGCCAAAATTCCCCTCCAAGTGACACGGCTTTGCGAAGGAGGTTTCCTTAGGCTGGGCTCTCTCACTCGCTCTGCCATCATCAGCGACGAGTAAAGGCTTCGCTCTTGGCGATAGGAATTTTGACAAAAAAAAAAAAAATAAATAAAAAATAAAAAAAAAAGAAAAAAAAAGAAAGAAAGAAAGAAGAAAGAAAAAATAGAAGAAGCTGCGCTAAAGTCTATCGTGACCTCAAACTCTTCGGGCTGGTTTTTTCTTTTTCTTTTCTTTTTTTTCTTTTTTTAATATATATTGAAAGAGAAACCATCCTAAAAGAGATTCGGCGTACGAGGAGATGGAAGTTTTCCCCTTGCTCTTGGTTTTGTCCATCTGGTGGTCTCGAACCTGGGACTCGGCGAATGCGGATTCAATTATTCACATCGGTAAGAAAGGGCAGGTGTTGCCTGTGGGTACTTTGGCCGTTTGGGTTCGCGAGTGCTTCCCTTCGCCTCCCCCCTCCGCCCTCCGCCCTCCGCCCTCCGCCCTCCGTGTGGCTTCTAGGCGCCGGCTTCGGTTTATTGCCCCTTCTCGCTGACCTTCCCTCACACTTGTTCAGGTTCCTGGCAGGATGTGGATGCTCGAACCTTGACCCGGGCCGTTGTTTCGCGGTGAATCGTGCCGTGTGCTGGGTGCTTGCGGGGCCTCGAGTTCACCCCGTTGTGCGTGTGTGCCGGGCAAGTGCGGAGGGTGGGTTCTAAGTGCGAGCCGAGAGGAGTTTAATCGACTCTCCCTTCCATATTCTTTCCCGGATGTGCATTTGCTCTATTAAAAAAAAATATATATATATATATAAATATGTATATAAATGTATCTTTGGGGGAAAGAAGAGGTGTCACCTGCGAGGCAAAAACTGGGGTGAGAGGTGGGGGGAGCTGCTTTCGGATCGAACAGGTGGTTCTGCAACGTGAGCGGGCTGCGTCTGCAGCCGCAGCGCCGTGCGACGGTGGCGGGGTGCCGGCGGCGCCCCCAGCCCGCTTTTCCTCTCCGGGTCCCCCCGGCTTTGCGGTACTCGCGCGGAGTGGCCGCGACGGGGGCGGGAGGGGCTGGCGGCGGCGCAGCCGAGGGCCGGGCGCCGCGCGCCCCGCTGCTTCGCACGCTCACTCCCCCGGCCTGGCTCGGCGGCGGCGCGGGCCCCCGGGCGCACGGGAAGCGCGGGGCGCGCGGGCCGCGCTCGTGGGCTGCCCCGCAGACACCTGCCTCGCCGCCGAGTTGCCGCGCAAGGCCGAGAGAGAGCTCGGGCGCTAGGGCTGCGGCCGCGCGGCCTGACTCCACGGAGGGCGCCGAGCCGGCTCGGGGGTGCTCGTGGCCCCACCTATTGGCAACCAGACGGGCCGGGACTGGCCGCGGCGGGCGGGGGCGCGGGCGGGGGCGCGGGCGGGGGCGCGGGCGGCCGGGGCCCGCGCGTCATTATCACGCACGGCGCTCGCGGCTTCAGGCTCCGACTCCCCTCGCTCGCTAGTCCGTGAGGGCTGAGTGGAGACGGGCTCCTGCAGCCCTTTCTGCGTTAATGCGACGATTTCCTTTTCGGAAATTCGCGTCCGCGGGCCGGCAAGGTTCATTTACTGGCATGAAGAGAGACCCCCTGCTGGGGGATTGTTCTGGGCACGGGACGTGCATCTGTCCACGAGGCTAGATGGTCTTCACATTGAAGCGACAGATGGGTCTCAGCATCGCCTTTCGTCCCCCTGCCCCTCCCCTGCTCAACACACACAGACACGCACGTGCACCTGCACGCGCGCGCGCACGCCACGGAGTCCTGGAAGGAACCTGCTTCAGGGGGCTCCTGTGCCGGTACAGGCGGGGGCCTTCTGCCTGGTGTTTGCCTCCAGAGCGCCCAGCCCCTCAGCTCCAGGGGACTCCTCGGCCTCAGGCTGTCGTTGTAAACATGTCTGCCATCCTCTGTCACTTATTTCCGTACAAGCAGACGTGTCTCTGTGTAAGGGGGAATGAGGTCAGGATTCGCAGGACCTTGAGCTTATGCATTAAGTGAATGAAGCACTAGATAGCTTTTAAGTGCTAGATCACGTCTTGCCTGGGGGCCAACAGGGCCTGTGGGCTTAGAACTTTTCAGGGAGGAATTACGGCCTTATCCAGGGGTTCCCTGATGTTCTGACAGAACTCAGACACGCACTGTGCCCCCCTTAAAGAAATGATTCACACACATTTATGTCCAGGTGTAAAGGACTGGAGCAGGAAGCGGATATATATCACCACGGTGGCTTTACAGTCATTTCACGATTAGGGGTTTCTTTATGCCTTACGCTCTTCGTCGCTCAGGAGAAAGGGCTTGTGGATAAATGCTTATTTTATTGTTTATTCTGTGGTGTACAGGATAAACATATTATTTGCAAACACCTGCAGCGCTTTGCTGTCCTTTACCGGATGACTACTGTTTTGCAATGCAGTCTGATCATCTGTTTCTAAAGAGAACACAACTGTTGTATTTTTTCCCTTTGCGCTCTGTTGTCTGTCAGTATGACATGGCTTACTTATTTATAACCAGACCAAAAAAAAAAAAAAAAAGGTAACAGTGTACAAATTACATATTTCTTTGGAAAACTAGTTGTATGCGTGAACTGTGTATATCCTATTAAAAGGAATACTTAACAGGCAATTTGACTTGAATGCAGTTAGCACATTAGGCAAGAGGATGAGCTTGTTTTATAGGCTACCTCATATTACCATAAAGCTAGCAAATTGATAAATGTTTCAAATGCTTCATATCTTTTATGGCACTCTGATAAATATTACTTCCCAAATTAAAAAAAAAAAAAAAGAAAAAAAAGAATGACCAAGACTAATTTGTGTGCAGGTCAGAGGTTAAAAGCCCCTTCTGCTTCCACTTCTGTACCAGCCAAAGTATAATGAATTAAAAACTAAATGCCCATATTAAAGTTTCAAACCATCAGTTAATATTCGTTGGATCAGTTTACCAGGTTGATTAGCAAAAGAGAATTATCTTTAGGAGGCGATTGCCTTCATTTAAATAATTAATGGGAGAAATATGCTTATGGCAAATGTATTATGTCAGGATTTAAGGGATGAATGTGATGAAACTGAAGGCAAAGTGAATATTTCAACTCTAAGGTTATAAGGAGATATGCAGAAATGAAAGGTTTTTCTAGCCTCATGTAGTGTGTTGTTCAAGTAGAAAGTAGCTGCAATATGTAGTTCTGGCAAGCTAGAAAGATAAAAAAAAACACATTGTTCTAATAGGTTCTTTAAATATTGAACCCTTTTGGTGTTGAACAGAATTATATATAGGAAAACTCCATCCTTCTCTCTCTTTTTTATTTCATGCAGGTAGTTTTTAAGAGTCGATTACATATTTTAAACTCTAATATATTTTATTAAACACATGAGTTCACTACCATGCTGAAATATATCATAATAAACTCCAGTGATTGAAGTGGCAGTGTATTTATTTCAGTAAAAAATGCACTAATGTCATACATAATTACTTTGAGTTTCTGTTAAATCATAGTTCAGGATACTTGGTAATTACATACACTTGTTTAAAGCACATTCACAAACATAGTATTCAGAAGTGAATCACCTCGATTGTGATAGTCTTTGCCCCCAAAAGAAAGGTCTTTTGATGTATAAAATCTATAATTTTGAATTATGCTTTTACTTTGAGCCTGTGCATTGATTGAGTAATTTCATCAGACCCACATTACTTGATTGCTTAGAAGTTTCCTAATGATCTGCATGCTGTAGGAAGAACCAAAAAATCGTGAGTGGAATGGCAATGATACTGTGTTTTATGAGGCTATTCAAAAGTCGCTCTGATTTATGTAGCTAGAAAGCTCGAAAGTCTTTGAGATTAGCCACGCTGACTGCTATTTTCTTCATACATCAGTCGTTCCACACTCTTTACTCCCTAAACACAACAGGAGTGTAGAGCACTGCTTTAATTAAGCAGGGATTAGGTGGCATTTCCAGTCAACTGCACAGTTTGTGTTTTGCTTCAAATCTAATATGGAGGATCTCATGTTTTAACAGTTTAATGTATGCTCATTTCTTTATCTGGTTCCTGTGCTCACAGAACCGATTGAAATGAGCTATCCTCAGTTATGGATCTCTACAAGGATATGCTCAAACTGTAGTTAGTCATATCTTACAAAAATCACTCGCAGAGTTCTGTTGTTAGCAGTCATAGTAAAATACCTCATGCCAACAGGGAATAGAAACAGACAGTTATTTATGTTTTTCTCATAAGCACATGATACTTTATCCTCTGAGATCATAATCATTAACTATGATATGTCTCAGAAGCCTAAAACAATGCACGGAATATTTTCATCACTAGAAAGTTCAAATTAAAGTACAAAACTGGTGGGTGAATAAAATGTCACCTTGTTAAAAACAATAATAGATGGCAGGTTTGAAGCAACGTTTTTCATGATTTCTGCACTGAGAAATATGGAATGTAAAAGTATTTCCAGAAGATGTACTGTGTCTTCCACCAACATGTTTCTTTTTCAGCCCTTCACATTAATAGCCCCCAGGTGTCATCAAGAACTCCTTGCACCGAATAAGATATCTCAATGATTGAAATTATCCCTTTATTATTTGCAGTGGTTGTTTGCTCCCTATGTTATGGATAACATAGAGTGTGAACTTCTAGAGTGTATGAACAATAGTCTATGAATTTAAAGTAAGGGTATACTTTACTGTTCTTTTCTGTATCCTTAATACAGTTATTTGAAGCATAATTCAGATGTGCATTAAGTTAGACAGTGTTATTAATCAACAGTATCAACTATGACATGACTAATAAGCCATTACACTAAGGACCTTTGCTTTCTACTCCAAGTGAAGTGTATACCCAATAAATATCTCCTAAATTGTAATTCAAATACAAATAAAAGTTGAAGTTATTAACTTTCAACTTTTTAAACAGTAGAAGCCAGTTGAGATTGTTAGGAGTGATGGAAGATGAATTATATTTAATTCTAATTCCTAAGGCTAAGTTTATCATATTGTAATTTTATCTCAAAGGGTATTGTAATTTTAAAACCACACTTTCTGATCTGGAAGTTTTCTTCCCCCCTTCCTTCACTTGCCTATGTTATTTTACTCTTAAAAAGTAAAGTATTTGGTATTGCTTTTGGATTTTCATGATATTTCAGATTATAGACAGCATATCGGTGAGTAACAATACTTACACAGTTTTACTGCAAATATAATGCTTATTAGAAAATACGTTTATGGTTATAAAGATAGCTTTGCCATTAGGTGTCACTGCATTCTGAGCTGTTCCTTTGTAGTCCTACTTGAAAATCACATGAGATACGTATTTTTTAATTCTCAGAAAAAATGTCATTCAATGAGGTCTATGATGCTGTAAGATACAATGGTTTTTATTTAAAAAAAAAGA